GCATATGACAAGCATGATGAGGAAAATAAAAAAAAAAACCTTCTTATTTTAGTTTTCAAAAACAAAATTAAGAAATTGTCATAATTAACTTACTATAATGGAATGCTTCCTCAGGGTTATAACAATACATAACTACATGTTGTCTTTAGCATGAAAAGAAACTCAACACCATTAATCTTAACAATTTCCTCTAACACCCTGTAATCTTACAGCAAAGGCTGAAATTAGCCGAACTATCACGAAATTATCTGGAAGAGAAATTTCAGAACAGGCAGGTAGCGTCCACTCAACTATGTAAAAACACACCATGTGACACTTTACTAAGAATGGATTCCATAAGAAGGGGAAATCTGGTTCCTTTTCAGAACACATTTCCAAGTCAATGGGAAATATTGAAACAATTTGCCAAATGGTCAATCACACATTTTTAAAAATGCCACCATGTGGCAACGAATTGGAAATTGAGAGGATGCCCATCCATTGTGGAATGGCTGAACAAGTTGTGGTATATGAATGTGATGGAATACTATTGTGATATGAGAAATGATGAGCAGGCAGACTTCAGAAAAATTTGGAAGGACTTGTATGTTCTGATGCTGAGTGAAGTGAGCAGAACCAGGAGAACGTTGTACACAGTAACAGCCACGTTGTGCGATAACTAATATTGATACACTTAACCATTCTCAGCAATACAAGGATCTAAGACATCTCCAAAGCCCTCAAGATGGAAAATGCTATCCACACACAAAGAAAGAACTACAGAGTTTGAATGCAGATCGAAACATACTATTTGCTTCTTCTGTTGTGTTTTGTTTCCTCTTTCTGGTGGTTCCTCCTATTGGTTCTAATTCTTACTTACAACATCACTAATGTGAAAATATGTTTAATAGGAATACATAGCCTATATCAGATTGTGTGCTGTCTTGGGGAGGGAGGGGGAGAAAAATTTAAAACTCAAAAGCTTGTGGAAGTAACTGTTGATAATTCAAAATAAATTAATTAAATTTAAAAAAAATTTAAATGCCACCATGATGGCTAAGGACCATGAGCCAGGATGACATTTCTTTGGTTCTAAGTGCTTTAATGTTCAGTAAAAGACTCCACTAGCTTAGAGGAAAAAAAAAAAAAGAAAAGAGAAGAGAATGCGACAAGTTGGCAAAGAAAAAGGAAATGTCTTTCGCATAGTAGGCACCGAAAAATAGTTGTTCAATTGAATAGTACAGCAAGTCCTGATAGAAAAGACTCACGCTGTAGGAGGCCACAAAGTGAGTCAAGAACTCATATCTCCTGACCTCCAGTCCAGTGTCCAGGTTCAGTCTCTCGGTTCTGTATGAAGCTCACCTGACAATTAGCTGGCTAATACTCTCCAAATTCCAATGAGATTGTTTTATATCAGAAAAACAAAGCAAAACAGCTAGGAAAGTTAAATGTAGAATATGACACAGACACATTCACATACATTCAATGCATTTGCGGTTCTGCCCTCTCCATACTCCATCCCTACCTCCTACTTTTCCATCTTTCCCATGGAGACTACTGTGGGCTCAGAACTACATCAGTTAGATATAGCATCTCTCAGGGTTTATAATCACAGAATCATATTGCCTTGGGATGTAATAAACTCTGGAAGTGTTTAAGTAGAGGCAAGACAGTAACTTTTTAGGGGTGTTACAAGTCAGGTATAAGTTGGACTATGTAGCCACTTCCTACAATAAGATTATGTGATTCTAAAAGGCACGAGTGACTTCTGAAGAGGACTCAGGGTTCAAGTCCCAGGAAGGTTGTAGAGCGGATAAGGGAGAGAGTTAAATGTGGTTCATGAAAATGAGTTCAATGATATCTCACCAAGGTGTTAATAGCACTGGAACCTTGAAAAAAATGGGGGAAGCAGACAACAGTGACAGTCCAATATCCAAAATTGCCAAGGAAGCTGCCCTTTTCCAATTTTATCCACTTCTAAGATTTGGCTGATACTGACTGTTAGCACCACTGACCCCTCTTGATTAGCCATGTCTAAAGGCCAAAATGAAGTCTTTTCCATATCAGTGATATACTTGATTTCTACTTCTCAACCACATTCACTAGACCCCCAGCAACTAAAAGCTCTCTTGGCTAGGGTCTTCCTGACTCAGCTAACCCCTTGTTTCCCAGGATCCCCTGGGAAAATGAGTTTTACATGAAATCAAATACCCTGAGATTTTCATCCTACCTAGCTCTTTCTTGCAATTCTGGAAAGGACTGGCTGCAGCCATGTATCACAATCACTGATATCAACTAAAGATAAGCTACTCCTGTATAACACAAAATATCATTCAGGACAAATGACTGAGAGGAAAAATACATTTAATAATTTCCAGTGGTTGAGAAGGAGCAATAATTTATTTCCACATTAAATGCTAAAATACTTCCACATAACATAAAAGTAGATTTCTTATAAAGTGAATTCTTTTAGCAGGTAGGAAGACCAGGCAGATTAAGGATCTACAAAAGTATAATCACAGCCTTAGCAAAGAAAATAAAATTAATATTCTTTGCATCTAAGTGCTAATAGAGTGGATGGTTGAAGGTTACTCTTAAACACCTATTGCTACAATGGATGGGAAATATTCATTTGAAGCACAAGTAATAGAGAGCGGAAAATGTCATAGGTGTAGAGAGTCTCGAATCAATATTATGCCACTGAGGCAATGCCTGTGGGTAATGGCAAACATTTTAGGAGAGAGAAGAAATTAAATAGAGTTTGAAACAATAATCATTAGGTAAATCCTCATATCCATTTTAGGCAATGAAAGCTCTTTACTTCCCAATCTCGTTCCATAAAAATGAGACTGAATGGAAATACAACCGATCCCCGTTATTCACAAATTCCATATTTGCAAATCTACCTACTCACTAAAATACATTTGTAACCCCAAATCAAAACTCCCAACACTTTGCCTGTTATTTGCAGCCTTGTACAGAGCAGCAAAAAATTCAAGTTGCCCCATATTCACATTGCCAACTAAAGTCGAACAAAGCCCTACTCAGCCTTCTTGTTTCAGGTCTCATGTAAACAAGTATTTTTTTTGCAGTCTACTTAGTGCCACATATTTCCCACATTTGTGCTTTTCGCTTGTGCTTCTGCTGTCTAAAATGGTTCCCAAGTGCAGTGCTGAAGTGCTATCTAGACAGCCTAAGACGACTGTGATGTGCCCTACAGAAAAAATATATTATGTTAGATAAGTGCCATTCAGGTATGAGTTATAGTGCTACTGGTTGGGAGTTCAATATTAATCAATCGACAATATGGCACACCCAGAAAAAGGAAGAGGGAATTTGCATATAATTAGTCATTTGTAATATATACATTAAATAAGGTGTCTTTAAACAGAAACACAAGCAGCTAGGTGTTGCAGTGGATAGAGCGCTGGGCCTGGAGTCAGAAGGTCTAATCTTCCTGAGTTCAAGTCTGGCCTCACACACTTACAAGCTGTGTGACCCTGGGCAAGTCATTTCATCCTGTTTGCCTCAGCTTCCTCATCTGTAAAATGAGCTGGAGAAGGAAATGGCAAACCACTCCAGTATCTCTGCCAACAAAACCCCAAATGGGGTCATGAAGAGTCCAGACAGGACTGAAAAACAACAAACAGAAACACCCACAAAACAAGACTGGCTGATGAAAATGTGACCAGAAGCTTGCAATAACCCAACTCTTTATTTCCCTTCAGACCAATGCTTCAGAATTCAGTAATTTAGTGTTCACAGCAACTTAATAAAATATAAGTATGGCAAACAACGAGAATAGACTATAAATCCCCTTGTTCACTGTGACAAAATTGGATAATACATAGACTTTAAAAAAAGTTTTAAACTGGGCATTTATTGGATTATTGTTTCAAAATATTTCAATTAGATCTAGTAGTCAGACAATTAAAACATTAAGCATTGTATTGACTAATTATGAAAACCTGTCTTGTTTATCCCGATTTAAATAAACATCAACCACAAAGACGTTCAGTACGAACTTTGAAAAATGCTCCACACATACTTATCAGCTCTCAAGAAGGTGGGGAATCTTCCTAGGAATTCCTGGAGAATTCCGACAAGCCATAATCTTTACTAAGCATCTTTAGTGTCCGGTCAAGTGTTTCAGAATAAGAAGGGGAAAGGGAATGACAGCAAGCAAAAGAAATAAACAACTCCATGGCCTCTCCTCTACCCAAACAACTTTTCTACAGAATCAATTGGGGAATACCAGCCTGAGTCAAGCTAGAGAGGGAGGGACGTTGAAGGCAGGGCAACTCTGCTCAGCCCACCAGTGTCATGAATCTCACTCCAAGGAAACCAAAGCCTACTCAGGGATAGAGTGCAGGTTCAATATGTCTACAGGAAGCAAAAGTGGTGGAGTTTCACAAAACTTTTTTTTTTTTTCTGGTCTAGCCAAGATGTCGTCTCTGACCCAGTATTCTGTCTCCCTTCTACCCTGCCTGTTCTCAGAAACACCTTATTTTTAGAAACTTGGACATTCCAGGCAAGAAACTTCCAGATTCCTAGGTGATTGGCAACTCTGCAGGGGACCTAGGACCTCAGGGGTAGAAAATCAATGAGACTCACTGGGCAATCCTCCCCCTCACCACATACACGTACTTAAAACACCTGAGTTAGTCTGATCACAACAAGTCATGTCCAGAGAAGTCTTTGATCTGCCCAACATCATGGACTCAGGAGTCCTAGACCTTCTTGGTCTCTCTTCCCAAAGCCCAGAACTATGTGGCCATACCTGGCACCATTCAGTTTTTGATGGAGTCTTTTGGAGCTAGTCTGGTGTCAACATTTTTTAGATTTCATACTAAAAAACATTTTCCCATAAAATAGCAGCTCTTACCATAGCGGTTAGAGAAGGAACTACGAAGCGTCTAACCTCAATTTTTTTCTTAGCTCTTTTACAAAGTAATTGGATTCCTTTGCCTGGTATTTCCCAAGAGTGTAGATACAAGTGTATGAAAATATCGATTTCTTACCTTTTGGAGGATCTTCTTTAATTAAAGGAACTTTCCATTCTTAGGTTTGTTGGCCAGAGTGAGGCCCAGATTTTCAGCTGATCAGAGATGAGGCCTTACCTGAGGAGAGAGGGAAAGAAAATGAGGTTAAGTACAGTGATGGTGTCAGTTTCATGGTGAGTTATCACAGCTACCCTCCTGCTGAGAAAAGAGGTTGGACTGGGTTTCCTCTTGTTGGAGGAATGGCAGCCAGTACCAGTCATTTCCTTTTCCCGACCATAGCCTTTTCATGTTTGGTAATTCCCCCGCAGTGCTAGTGAAAGAGTCTCCCACACAGTGCTGATTTTATCACAATCTGTGAGGATGGCAGTGCCCAGAGCCATCACTAGCAACTTTAGCACCAAAGAATGTAGCAGAAAAGCCATCCCTGATTCAACTTTTTAAAACCAATTCAGCTGGGTGGCACAAGGTCCCAAAGTAGGAGGCAGAGATCACAGGATACAATTCATGGCAGAGGTCACAACTGGGGAAGGGAAGATGGTCACCTGATAGTTTCCTATTCGAATGCCTTATTCTTACTCAGTTTTTTCTACTTTTGTAAAGAACAACTACTGTTAGGGCCCTGTAAATTTCAGTGTCCTGGCTAGGTCTTCATACCACAGCAGGAGGAACATGGTGGCATATACTGCTTTGAAAACTGAGGGTTCTGTTTAAAGAGGACAGCGGATGCATATTTTCCTGTTAAGATGGAACAGAAGCAAAACAACAACACTCCCCTAGTCAGTTATTAATGCCCAGGATGGAAGCCCTGTCTACAGTCCCCCCTAGGAGGATCAAACAGTAAGGTATTCCCTTTCTAACTGAATTCCATGCACTCCATTAGGGTTTGATTAGAAAAGAGCTTCCCAATCTCTGGCTCATGACAAACTTTTATGCCCAAGGTCCTTACTTCTCAAATTAGCCAAATTTATATGAAGTCAATATAGACAAGCGGTACAGTGAACAGAGAGGGGTAGCCTTAGAGTAAGAATAACCTGTGTCCAAGTACCATCTCTAACACCTACTACCTGTGCGATCATGTTCTCAGGTCCTCAGTTAGCTCCTTCAGACCAGAAGATGCACAGAACTGAAAATCTGCATAGGTGGAGGGAGTTTCCCCATTGGAAATTCCCTACAATGAAGCACAGGCCTGGACTGAACCAACAGAAAAGAATCAAGTCAAAACTAGGTCCTGCTTTTCCCCACATCTTCCTCCTTACACTCCCCACCTCTCTTGCCCAGCTCCCCAGCCCTGCCTCTGTGAGTCATTGTGTAGAAGTTTTAGAAGGTGGACCAGTTTATAGGAGAAAATGTAGGTCATTTACTCTCCCACATACAATTTGGCACATACTCTGCCCTTCCCCTGAGGCTGCTTAACATTTGCTCTTTATATATTTTTATATTTACTGATCTATGTTCACACTGTCTCCTCCTAATAGAGTGCTTCCATAAGTATAGGGTCTGGCTTTTTTTGTTTCTATATCCCCAGTTCCTACCACACAGTAGGTGCTTAAGAAATGCTTCTTGAATCAAAGTCGAGTGAACCTTTGAATTAGATGGTGTCTAGGGTTTCTTTGAGCCCTCATGTTCCAAGTCTTAGACCCAGGAGTCCTCAAGGAAAACTTGGATTTCCTATACCTAACCCATGGAATGGACCAGATATGAGGAATTCCTACCACCCTTACCCAGTGGGTGGTGCCTTGTCCTCCACCTCTGACTTGAAAGATTCCCTCTTGAGGCTAAAACAACCCACCTCCTCCAGTGGCCCTCCAAAGTATACCATCTGGCTACAGGGTTTGTACAATTTGTTGGAATGAGAAAAAATAAAATATTGAACATTGTTTATCTAAATCTAACCAATTAAGCTCAATTCCATGCTGTCTACCTCCAGACAGAGAACTGATGGATTTTGAGTGTAGACTGATGCATTTTTTTCTCTTTATTTTTCTTGCTTCTCTTTTTATGCAACATGGCAAATATGGAAATATGTTTTGCAGGACTTCATACGTCTAGTAGGTATTGTCTTTTTTGCTCTCTCAGTGAGTGGGAGATGGGGTGGAAGGAGAGAATTTGAATTAAATTAAGTTAAATTAAAGCTATACAAAAGGCTTAACCCACCTCCCTCTTCTAAATTCTTGGGTCATATCTGTCTAGCACAGTAGCATGTCACAGGTGCCTCAGCCTGAGCTCCTTGGTCCCCACTCCTGCTCATTGAATCAACTACCATATGACCACTCCCTAGATCTACTAACCTCCATACATGAGCCAGTAGGCCCCACTGCCCTCACCCAACCATGGTCCTGCTCTACCCCCAAAGGATAGAAGTTTAGAAAAGTTGGCAGCACTTGTAAGTATTAAAGGCAGCACCTTTAACAATTAGGGAAGAGTGATCCAATTAACCATCAAAAAAATGATGAATACAAGGAATCCTGAGGAACCCAAGAAGACCTGTAGAAACCAATGGAGTAAAAGGAATAGAACGATACAAGCAATGACGCTAATAACATAAATGAAAAAGCAGGCTAAAAAAAGCCAAACTCTGAGTGACTGGAAAGACAGACCTTGGCCACAGAGATGATAAAATGCACTCTTCCTTCCCCAAAAGAGGCAGGGGACTGTAGGTACAGAATGAAGCCTGCACTATCAGACATGGTCACTGTGTCAGCTGGTTTTGCTCAAAAGGTTTTCTTTGTTCAATGTGTATATGCAGGGGTGAGGAAAAGATATATGCAGGAATGAATGTGATCTAAAAGCAAAAAGTTATCAAAGAAATATATTTTTAAAAATGAAAAACCCATCTTGTCCTCCTGGCTGGCAGTGTAAGGGCCAAGTCCCTCACTGATTAAAAAGGATTCATCTTTGGCCTTCCCATTTCATAGTACTTTAAGGGGTAAGGCAAGCACGTTGTCACAGTGCCCAAATTTTGCAGCTGAGAAAACTAAGACATGGAGAGAATCTGAGTCACACAGCAAGTTTTCCTAAGAGCAAGGATTAGAATTCTGAGTTTGCTATGTTACAGCAAAGTCAATTTGCCCTAGTACAGAAGCCCTCTGGGGTCATGTTGTTATTCTGTATGGGTGCATGTCCTGACATTATATGGACAAAACAGGCCAGGCATAACATCTATCATAATGCCTTGTAGAAGCTCAATAAGTATGAACTGATCTTCTGTGGAACATAAGCCATTCTCAAGCAGAGTTTCTTTGAGAAACTATCTAGGTCCAATTTTATGATGGCTCAAATCTTTCGCGTCCAACTGGTTTTTATGAAGATGCTATCAGAAGCTGCCTGAAGTGAAATCCCCGATGATTTCCAGGGTCTGAATTTTTAAATTTGATCTCTCTGTGAAGTGTTAAATGGGGAAAATATTGTTTTTATGGATCTAGAGGGACTTTTCAAAAAGAAAGAACACTTGAGAAAATGGTTGATGGCAGACCACACAACTTTCCCAAATCAAACAATGAATGGGGCCAAAGCTGGCTAGAGGACGTTGCTGTTTGCACTTAACTTAATCCTTTATTTGTGCCAATGGTGGTGGGGGGGGGAGCTGGCAGACATGTGTAGAGCTTGTGCATGAAAAGTGTCTTATTTTCATGATTTGCTGTTATGTAGACACTTATAAGAGCCCTTCAAGTTTCTATAAATGTGATTGATGAGGAAAGCTTGTGAAATGGAGTTTGGCAACTTAAGTAGACTCAATAAAGAAAGTCTTTCAGGAATAGGCCAGGTTAGCCACAGTTGACTCTTTAAGACTGCACACTTGGACCAAAGATACCCCTGCAAAGAGATGGAGTTGACCTCAAAATGCCAGCTGATGGTTGAAAATAAAACTCTGCTTTTGTTACATGGGAAATGGATACACTGGATTGAATCTCACACTTAGCAGACCAAAACCAAGACTATTAAAGAAAGAACGTTCTGGTGATTCCCCTCTACCTCCGTCTCCCACTGGAGCTTCAGCAGTGGCAATAAATCATGGCCTGGTGATCAGACTGCCCTGAGCTTGATATAAGTCTGCCCTTAGGGCCCACAAACTGACACTCAGATGCCAACATTAAAGCTCAGCCCCTTCAAATCAGAAAGTGTTGGGGAAAAAACCCTATAAGGTTGTCTCTATTAAAAATCTCTAATTTACATTAATCTGAGTGAGATTATAAAACATATATATAGTTTTATGTGTATATACCTATACGGATATTTACATACACACATGTGATTCTTAATGGCAGCTAGATGGCACAGCAGTGGAGCGAGACTGGCCTAGAGTCAGGAAGAGTCCTCTTCCTGAGTTCAAAGCTGGCCTCAGACACTTATTAGCTTTGTGACCCTGGGCAAGTCACTGCATCCTGTTTACCTCAGTTTCCTCATCTGTAAAATAAGCTACAAAAGGAACTGGCAAACTGCTCCAGTATCTCTGCCAAGAAAATCCCAAATGGGATCACAAAGAATTGGACATGACCAAACAACAACAAAATGTTAACTTTTTAAAAATGTCACCAAACTCAAGATTATCTCCTGTAAACACTGAAATAGGCTCAAATGGGATCTTAGTACCATAGGATTAGAGATCCAGAGTTGGAAGAGGCCTTAGATGTCATCCTGTACAATATCCTTATTTTACAGATAAAGAAACTGAGGCCCAGAGAAGTTAAGTGACTTGCTCAAGGACACAGGCAGTAAATGGCAAGAGCTACCATTTAAACCCAGGTCCAGTGACCCCCAAATCCAATATTCAAGGAATAGCAAGTAGGCCAGTATAGCTAGAATGTAGAACGTGTCTAGGGCATGAAATATTAGAAAACTAGAAAGGGAGGAAGAGAACAGATTACAAAGGTCTTTAACTCTCAAATATTTGTTAAGTTGTTTTTCAGTCATGCCTGACTCTTTGTGACTCCATTTGAGTTCAGTGAATATAGGGAGTGACAAGATCAGACTATGTTATACGAAAATTGCTTTGGTAGCTGTATGAAATAGGAAATAGAGTGGGGATAGACCTGAGTAAGGAAAAACAATTAGCAATTGTTCAGGGGAGAGGTGATGAGGGCCTGTTCTAGAGAGGCAGCTGTATGAGTGGAAAGGAG